AAAAATCAAAAAATTAAAAATTATATTAAAAATAATCGAAGTATTTAAAAGAAAGGCTTAGTGGAACACTACGTATACAAAAGAGCTGTGAAAATTAGTTTACTATAAAGTTATCAATAATTATAAAACTACTACATATTATAACAGTAAAAGAAAGATTTGGTGGAAGACTTTTGTTAAGACTTAGTGGAAGACTACAGTCATGTCCCAACCCATAAGTTAAGGCAAATTAAACTCTACATATCTATAGGGGTGATCCTATACATACGTAAGGCTACCAAACTTGCAAAATCATTACAATTTCTCATAAAAGTTTTAATATAATTAACACCTTTACATGAACAATTTTAATAATGAATCTTAATAGTCTCCAAAATAAAATGCTCAAACTCTATTAACCAAAAATATAAAGTATTTAACAAACTTATTCCATAAAACCAAATAATCTTTCAATTGAGTTATAACTAAACTTATGAAGGCCAATTTATTTTAACGACCTTTCAGTCCCCATGCTAATTCCAATGCTCACATTTTATCACCTAAAATGAGATAAAATTTGAAAACATGAGTTTAAGAACTTAATAAATAGTATACCCATCCATCACAACTAAGCATGAAATTTATAACTTTAATATTATTATAAGTAAACTACAAAATCACAATTCCTTTCTTAAAACCAAAGTATTCTATTTCCCATCCATTATAGCTGTATAAACAATTCACAATCCATGATACTCAATCATCAATCCATGATATACTATCCACAATCCATGATATACTATCCACAATCCACGATACACAATTCACAACACATTATCCATAGATCTTGGGTTTATCATAATATCATCAACTTAACCCTCACAAGACCTAATCCTACAGTCAGACATAACAAAACCATTCTAAATAAAATAATTTCAATGATAATGTTGAAAAATAATTTCAAATTAATCACTTTCACATGGCCATAATTTCATCTTGCACTATAAATATAAGGACAATAATTGGTATGCCATTCAATTTAACACACTACACAACACACTCCAGTTCAACCATTAAAATTTGTCTTTGGAAATTTTCCCATCATGAATTCAAATTTAAAAATAATAATTTCTTAATGATTGTGTTATAGAGTGTGTTAAACCAGAGGATATACCAATCATTTTCCATATCAATTATTATCCTTTTGATATACTAGGCTTCTATTGTTTATTTCACTTGCATTTTTACTAAGCATCTTCCAGGAAATACATTCTACTATTGCCTAGTGCCTATTTCAAGTTGTTTCTTTTCCTTAGTTGGCTCATTAACTCCTCGCATCAGAAATTCAACCTGCTGCTACTTCAAATAATTTGCTTTGCTTGGCCTAAGTTGATTATCAGTGTTCACCTTTTCTTATTTCTTTTGCCAGGTACACTATCTATTAGATATTCTTCAATCTTGATTCAGTTTATGTTTTCTTTGATATAGAAAAGGAAAGGAAAATATATATCTCAGTGTTTCTTCTGGATTAATTCATGACCATATTGTTAGATTTTGTTTATGTTTACTTCATTATTGTGAGATTCTCATTTTCATACTGTTTTTTTTTTTTTTTCCTTTTTTGAGCAATTTGTTAGATTCCTCATTTTCATAATTTTTGCTTTTACCTAGTAATTAATTTGTAGCACTTTAATACGTATAAAAAAAATTACTAGTCACTTAATTGATACTCTATTTGAGGTCTCTCTTTCTTTTTTGTGATCACTTCAAGTAAATTAATATAGAAATGTAATCTCCTTGTAATCGTATTTGAATCATTATTTTTTTTTCAGAAATATCCATCAACCTCTCTTATAAGAAAGGATAAACTTGCAATTGCAATCGAGCAGATCTGCTGTATGCTACATAACTTCTAATTCCATGGACTTTTTTTGTATCTCGGTGTCTAATTTCTTCAATACCCTCTTCTAGACCTGCAGGTATGCAATTCCTTCAATTTTGTTCTCTTTGAAGTATAACATGAAAAAGTATGTACTGTTTTATATCCAAAGAAATAAATAATTTTGGTTAAAATACTAATTTTGTCCTTCAATTTTTAAATTTATATCGAACTTGTCTCTCAACTTTAAAAAGTACCAAAATTTTTAATACTAAAAAAGTCATTTTATTAATAGAATGTTATGTAACTCATTATTTTACCATAAAATCAATTTTTTTAAATATTAATGATGTATGAAATCAAATAGTCATATTTTATTATTGTAGCATATTTCTATCTAGAAATCAGATTGATATATAATTAAAGTTGATAAACCAAATTGATATTTTGTAATTAAAGTTCAAAAACTAAGTTGGTAATCGTTTTCAAAGTTAAAGAACTAAATTGATATTATCTTCAGATTTTGAGGACTATTTTGATAAAAAAAATTAAAGTTTGGGACAATTTTAGTATTTTATAAAGTTGAGGGATAATTTTGGTGTAAATTTAAAAATTGAGAGATTAAATTGGCATTTTAACCAATAATTTTCTTGGATGTAATAGTCTCATGCCCTAAATTTTTATTGGTTGTTTTTGGAATTATTACTTTGAAAACTTTGATCCACCGTAAATCAAATTTAACTAAAATATATAATTAATGGAAATTTCATTAAAATGATGTAATTTTAGGATAGGAAAATTATTGATATATCTTCTAGTTTAACGTATTTTTTGACATATGTGTGGTTTAGCCATAAAATATAATATAAGTACACTCAATTTAGACAATTTCTACATCCTATATATATAATTGTATTTTTAAATTTTTCTACATTCAATTCTATAAAAAAAATAATTTTTAATAGATGTATTATACACTATGTTAAACTAAAAAATATAAATATATATATATATATCAATGTCCTTTAAGATATTTTTCCATTTAATTATCTTCTTCCTTCTTGTCAGATTCTCATTTTCATTTTTTTAAACAAATTGTTAGATTCCTCACTGTCCTATTGTTTGATTTTCCCAAATTAATTTTTAGCTGCTTAATTGATAATCTTGTGAGGTCTCATTTCTTTTAGGCACTTCAAATAAATTAAAATAGAAGGGTGTTCCCCCCAGTGATAATATTTGAATCATGTTTTTTCTTCTAGAAAATATTCATCGACCACTCTATATCAGAAAGAATAGGCTTGCAACTGCAATCAAGATGATCTGTTGTGCCCAATTTGTTTCTACGTCCAATTGCTTAAATACCTTTTTTCAGACCTACAAGTATACGATTCCTTCTATTTTATTCTTTTTCAAGTATAAAATGAAAGAGAAAATATTTTTCTAACACAGACTGCACAAAAAAATATCATTTAGGCACTGAAATTATCAAAACATTATTTTTTATTAATTTTATTTTCAAAATTACTTGATATTAGTTTTAATTTCAAATTGATTTCGTTTATTTCATTGAATAAAGTCATCATTTATTTTATTTCTAAAATTTGATTGATTTTATTTTAATTTAATTTCATTCTCTAACTTAAAATAGTAGTTTAATTTCAAATTAATTTTGCCTTTTAAAATTGATTCAAATTGTATTTTAATTAATTTAAAATTTTTTCATTCATTACTAGTACTTTAACTTTAAATAACATTGGTTAAAACTCTTTTTTGGTCTCTGAACTATTGTACGAACCCCCGATTTAGTCCCTAAACTAAAAAAATCCCTGATTTGGTCCTTTCTGTTTACCATTTTAACCCCAATTTGGTCTTTCCGTTAAATGTCCACCTATGTGTCTCGTTACTTGACGAGGAAAAGGATGACGTGTCAAATATTAATACACGTGGAAGACAATAAGACTAGAAAAAGTGATGACATGGCAAAAATAATAATATAAAAAAATATTATGAAAAATAAAACTTAAAAAATTCTTCTTTTTTTTTTTTTCTT